GTAACAAGGAAAATAACAAGAGTTGTGTTACTCTACAGACAAAATATTTATTTAAGAAAATTTGGATCGATATATTATTAAATAAATATATTAATTCATTTATTCGTATAAAAATATTTGTAAAACATAATTTATTCCGCCAACATTTTAAAAAATGTTAAAAATGTATTTTGCAAATATAGAAAATAATAAGTGTTACCTTGTTACGAACAAAATATTTTTACCTTAAAAAATCATATTTGTTTATAATAATGTTATTCTATAATATTTAATTTGTATACAATTTAATAAAAACGGATTTTTTTGACATGTTTTGTTCTATTTATTTTTAAAGAGATTGATGAAAAAACATACTCTAGGTGTGATATGAATTGTCGGAAGGGAAAATGAGGATTTTTTTTTGAAAGGGAGTCTTTTATTTATGTCACATAATCAAAATGACATGTCGTCCACATCATCTGATTTAAGTCTTGTAAGCAAAAAAAAGTGTTAACCAGGCATAAGAATGAGACCCATCCTATTGGGGAATGTTGATCATTTCACTAATTGATTTGATGATGATCCATTTTATCTATCGAAGTATAATATTTCTATTATTTAGTTTCAACGATCTTCACTAAGTCAATTCAGTGATCGCTGAATATGTATTGTAATTCTCTTAGAGATTGTTATACTTCAAGAAGACAAAACTCGCACCACAGATCCTTCTGCAATGTCGAAGACAGAAGTTGAAGATTAGATACTAGGAAGTTCATGATCTGAAGCGACATTCAGTTATTACAAGCTCGTCTACATATGTGTGAAGTCTGCTCAAGTTTCAGTGAATACTGAAGAGACCTTTCAGCGTCATCCCACTATTCAGCGATCAAATGGAACTTACCAAACACAATTGTTTTTGTCTTATCCTCCCTCACACAAAGGACAAACTCATACATTTTGTAGAGTATAGTACAGTACAGAGCCACTCCATTGACTCTATAGTGCTTACCTAATTTATGAAAAGATGACTGCTCATATACAACCAAAAGGACTGTTTACTATAGCAAAGAACAAGTTTTCCTCCAAAAGCTTGACACATGCTTTGTATTTTCTGAATTGCATTTAATGCAATGAATATAAACAGTTGAGTGCTCTCATCACAGTTATCAATCTTTCTTACTACTAATTTACCCAAGAAGTTACTTCTCTCTCTACTCTCTGTTTTAAGAGAAAGAACATTTTGAACAAGTGAAGAGCACTTCGACTCTTATCTTTATTTATTGTAGCAAATCTTTTCTCTTTGCTATTTGTAATTATGTGTATCTTAGATTATTTAAATAGGTTCTTTACCTTATCTCTTCTGCAAACAATCAGTAAAATTTGTATTTATCTTATTTATCAATATATAATTTTTAAAAGTGAAAGTTTCTGTGTTTTTATTCGTTCCCCCTTTCTACAAACTGATTATCTACAACTCTTGTAGATCCGTCTGGGACCAACAGGGAACCTGATGTACCCGACCCAACAAGGACGACTATTCCTTGCAACAGCGAGGATGCGGATAAGGACAGAGATCCTTAAAAGTTAAAAATCAGGTATCAGTGACATAGGTAACATGATCCTTGCCCCATCACCGCATATTATAAAAAGAAAATGTTAAATTTTCAATTAAACCTAAATATAAAAGGTTAGTGTTTATATTTGGTGTAGCATAAAATACTAGGAGTTATTTAAACAAAAGGTGTTTGATTTGAATTTGGAAGGTCGTGGGGCCCAGAGGCACCAACCGAAGACTCTCTGATGATTTGATTTTGTTTCCAAAATTCCAAACCAGTCCGGCATGCATATGGGGTGGGCCCCACTTCTTAAGATATGTTCCTATACGTATGACCCCACTGTAACAAAACATTGGCTGCCCCACACAACCAAATTCACACTAAAAAAGTGAATAAAATGTTCCAGTAGAGTACCATCCAACCTCCAATCATTCACAATCAATAATAATCAAAACTAAAGCAAATCATTTGATATCTTTTTTCCCTTTTTTATTTTTTACTATTTTCTTTAAATAAATAAATAATTTATATGTTAATTATCAGCTTCACAACAATATATTTTTACAATTATATATTTTAATTAAAAAAATCAATAATATTTTAAAAAAAATTAATAATATTTTAAAAAGTGGTAGGAAATTTGAAACATGTCTGGTGTGGGATTCTTTTTTTTTTTTTTTTTGCACTTGCAAATTGGATTTTACCTTATGCAACATCAACAAACATCCTATCATAACCACTGCAATTATTAAGTCCCCCACACTCTTCCCCAGAAGATCAAAAGTAGTCCCTCAACATTTTGATTATCCCAATAAACCCCCTAACTTTTTTCTTTTTCACTTTTCCCATCCCTTCCAGTTGACGGGATATTTCTTCTTCACTTTATTCTCTGTTTCTTTCTCTTTACTCTTTACCACTCCAATTTTGTCTTTGTGTTTCTTGAAATTTGAGCTACCGGCGCACACCTAAATCAGCACAACGTACAACTTCAAATTCAACCACCACACAATCTCTACACACATTTTATATATATATATCATTCTAAATCTCTCTGTCATATCAAACACCAAGAAATGGGTCACCATTGCTGTAAATTCTAACTGTCTATCAGTTCTCCGGCCGGTGATCATTGTCATACCAAGAAATGGGTGATCTTTGCTTGGAATTTTCACTGTAAATCTGTTCTCCGTCGACCCACGTTCAGTTTTCCGGTGATCATTCTCGTATCATACACCAAGAAAATGGGTGATCTTAGCTCCATTGCATACTTTAACAATCACCCACGTAACCATGGTTCTTCGTTGTGTTGGGACGTCCACAATCTTCAACTTCCCAACACGGACATCTCTCACAGTAAGTTAACATTCCGTTGTGTATATATACTATGCATACATGCATCTACTTATATATATATATATATATATATATATATGCATGGTGATGATGAGGTATGTTATATGTGGTGCAGGTACGGAAATGAACACTACTCCACCATTCTACGATCAGTTACTGTTTGATTCGGATCTGTCGTCGGGGTATTTAGAGGATGCTTTGTTTGAATTCAGCTCCAAACGACGCCGTTTGATGATGACACCTGATGATCATCATCAACCCAACAATCAAAATTCAAGTCCTCCCTCATTTCCGGTAACTTTTTTTAATATTTAATGTTTAAGTTTCATTATAAAATTCCATTTTTAATGGTGGGCACCCTCTGGATTTCATGCCTTGATCCCATTATTCCACAGAGCTACTGGAATTTTGATTCTGCTGATCATGACTTTGAGAATTTTAGTGGGCTTAACGGTATGGAAATAATATATACTTTTTTATTTTATTTACAAACAATTATTTGTTCATTTATATTATTTTATTCACATTTAATTATTTGTTCATTTATATGATATTTAATTACTGCAGTGAGTGGGGATCATTCAACTTCATCTTCGCAGAGCAAGAGCTCCATCAACACCCAGTTCTTCTCTGATAAAGAAAGTCTAAGTTCATCATCAGACCACTTCACTGGTACGTGTATTACATCTCTCTCTCTCTTTCTCCATATATATATATATATATATATATACATACATACATGTCATAAATACATACACATGTATGTATGTATGTATGTATGTATGTTACAGTATGTATGTTTCTACAGATATACATGTATATATCTTGTACAGGAACCTGATCAGCTGCATGATGATGATGATGTGTTCTTGAATGACAAACCATGCATACTTTTTGACCATTCAATGTTTGACTTCATGAACACGAAAGTTGTTGAATTTCTTTTCTAAATACGATCCTTCGTCCAAAAGAAATACGTAATTTAACAAAAAAAACTTACTGAAAATAATATATATATATATATATATATATATATATATATATATACACACACTATTTGTTAACGGGTTTAATAATTTGAAAACACAAAATTTGTTAGATCCAACAAAAACTTCTACTTTAAGACAATTTTTTCTTGATCTAAGTGTAATATTTAATGAACTGATTAATATTTGTTTCATATGTATTTGTTTTAATTCATAATGTAAAACTTTTTTACGTGTATATTTTTTATTTTATATATACGCCAAAAAGGTTTACAATGTAAACAAAATACATGTGAAACAACCATATTTTTAAATAAATATATGTTAATCACTGTTTTAAATAATATAAAATATCACATGATATAATAGTTGTCATGCAATAGAAAGTCTCCTTTCATCAACTATAATAAAAATTTTAAAAATATCAAGGATTTTGTAACCTTCCAAAATAAGCAATAATAATATTTAGTGCATAAAACAAATATTAAAATAGAATTTAAGAATAAAAATTTTGGAAAAGCTAAAATTTGAAAATTGTGTGAGCAAAAGTAAACGCATTTGGTTGATTTAAATTAATCCTAATGACAATGACATTTTTCTTTTTGGAAATTATACTTTTTTTTCTTTTTCTATGCTGAAATTCAACCATCATTATTAGAGATACTTATGAGTTGAGTTGGTTTAATCGAGTCGAAGACATTTGAACAACCTAAGTTCAATGTTTGCGATTTGAAAAATCTTAACCCAACTCAATCCAAACCAAAATGCAACCTAACCCAACCCAAATTGTATGGGTTAGTCGAGTTAATACATTGGTACATTAAAATATTCTTCTAAACTTGAATATGTTATTTCTCTACTCATATTTATTTTTCACTATCAATCATTTGATACAACATATATCACATTCAATAAATTTTTTTCTCAATTTACATATATATGTTCACAGTTACCGAATATATATACGAATGAGTTATATAAAGATGAATAATAGATTGAAAATATGTGTATATGAAGAAGATACGTGATGGTGTAATTGTCTAATGTATATATTAATAAAACTCAACAATCATATTAAATCCAAAAAATACAAGGATATCGGGTTGGGTTGAGTTCAAATAATAGTAACCAAATTTCAACCTAATACCTACAGTTTGAAAATTTTACAAATCGATTAGACATCGGGTTGTTTCGGCATGTTGGGTTGGGTTAGGTTGATCAGGTTGGTCGGGTTTTTGAGCACCCCTAATCATTATGTCATATATATATATATATATATATATATATATATATTATAGCCTAAATCTAATAATATGTGCATTCCTTCTAATGTGATAATCAAAGTCAACTAATGTATTAATTAAGAATATAAAAATTAAGTCTTAATATTAAGTTATATAAGAAGTAGATAGGAGTGTATATTTAACCCACCTCTTATATAACTATATGATTGTTATTAGGATCGTTTAAACTTTAATAATCATTCTTGTTCATTTTTTATTTGTAAAAAAAATCACAGGTGGATACGACGAGAGTAAAAAAAAGGTGATTACAAGGGTGGTGTACCCATTTGCATTGGTAAAGCCAGGAGGATTTAAAGGGGATATCACGCTGAATGACATTAATGAAAGAATCCTAATGCCGCCGACTAGGCCGGTCAAGCATCCGGTGGGAGACTTTGCTTGTCGGCCTATGGTGTCCCCCAACGGACCAGGTCTTTCCGGGAAGGCTGTGGTGGCTCTCACCAGAATCCAAACACATGGGAGAGGCACAATCACCATTATCAGGACCAAAAACTGAATAGATGTTTCCATCTTGTATAGAGTATAACTCGTTAATTACCAAAAATATAAATATTGTATTGGTACTTATTCATCAAATTAGTTCCAATTTCTTAGATCTTTATTTCTATAACGTCAAGCTTATTGCATGTACTTTTATACATAAGATGCTACTTACGAGTGCATTTAATTGTATATGTACTCGTGTACTTGTCGAATGAGTGGATATACCATCAAGTGTACCTCTGGATTTATATTATTATATAACTAGTACATTTGTATGTTTTTTACAACACGCCTCTACATTTTAAGCTTTATTTTAAATACCTGAAGTGTTCTCTTTTCAAGTTCTAATGTTTTTGTGGGAATATGTTTTATTATGTAATTTTTAGTATCAAAATCTATAATTGATTGATATTGGTCTAATGAATTCTGATTTGTAAGTACATATACAAGAACTTAGTACCCTAAACCCACAGTTATTTTCAAACATGTGTTATGTAACCATGCATACATATTGATGAATCAGGGTTAATTTTGAAATGGTCAAAAGTATTATAGGGTTTGTAACAACTCATCCCATATGGATAGAAAGTGAGAATTATTAGCTTCTTATAAGTCCCAAGTAGTGTGTCACCAATAACTTTCACTATGATTTTAAGTTGGATTCAAAATTATTGGGTCAGCTCGTTGCTTTGGGCTTTGGGGGTGTTACAAATTGTATCAAAGTCGATCCCTGTACCATCAGAATGGTGGGACAAACCTCATTAGGTATGATGAGTCATCGAGAGGGGGTGTTTGTAACATCTTAGGTGACCCACATTGCCGATGATAAGGAAAAAGATTCTGGACAGGAGTTTAAGTGGGAGAATTTGTAACAACTCGTTCCACATGGATAGAAAGTGAGATTTATTAGTTTCTTATAAGTCTCAAGTAGTGAGCTACCAATAACTTTCATCATACTTTTAAATTGGATTCGAAGTTACTAGCATACCCCAATAATATAACTACAAAATTTAATACTTTATAAATAAAAAAAAATATTTGAAATTAATAAAAATTTGAAGTTTGTTATCACATTCACATTCTTGTTTATGCTAAATAATACATAGCTAAGTAAGTTATGAAATAAAAGTAAAATATTTAAGAAAAATAAAGTAAATAAAAGTAGAAAAAGAGCTTTTATAAATAAAAAAAAAAAGAGAGGAGAGAAATGAGTGGAGGAGAGAAAAATGAGGTTATCTTTTTCTTATTTAAATATAAATAAGTAAAATTATTGATTAAATGACACTTGATTTCAACTAATCTTTGTTATTTATTAAAATTAAATGGAAAAAGAATATGATAATTGAACAAAAATTTTAACTATTTTCAGATAGGTTAAGTCACAAAAAGATAGATTTTGATTAGTTGGATAAAATTATTGTTATAAAATTAAAAGAATAGGTTAAACATGAAAATTATGAGTTAAATTTTATCATTTATTATCACATCATTTTGTTATAAATAAAATAGTATAATAAATTAATCTGCTTAGAATTGTTTTGCCATAACAATTTAATGGGAAATTGAAAATTGGCGTCTGTCCTATAACTCAATTGACAAAGAGGTGCGGAAAATTCTCCTCACATTGGTATTTTTGGAGGTTGTTTCGTGTGAAGTCGGTTGCAGTTATCGGTAATCAACTTTTTGCCCAAATGTAAGGGAAATTGTTAAAAAAATCCTAATTTAGTTGGTTTAAGGTTTTTATAGTTCAAAATTTTATCTACTTAAAGGTTTACTAGAAGGATACTCACGCAATGCGCAGCGAGATAAATCTCCATTTAATCTTTCGTTTTATCTTTTGTATTTGTCAAAATAATATGGTTTATGTGATTTTGATAAAAGATAATATTTTTACTTTTGAATAAAAGCAAATTTGAAGATTTCATAAAATTTTGAAAAAATATATCAATATTAATATCAAATCAACTAATTAAAAGTTCTTTATTTTTTGTACAATTTTTTAATTCAAAATTTTATTATAATTTAATTTAGATCTAATAACGAATTAATTTATTTTT